AAGATTTTTCACATGATTTTATTTTGGTTTAATTACCCAGTTTACAAAAAAATCCACACAAAGCATTCTTAAATACATTTGAGCTGAAAACTGTTGTGGCTCAGACAAAGGGAATAGTGGTACTGAAGTAGACTATTTGTCTGAAATGTATATAGCTTTAGGGATTTATAGACTAGCTTGATTAGTAATTGGGAGAAAAACTGTTCCTTAGTTTAGTTACCAAAAAATGCAGTACTTTGTATCAATTATTTGGCCGACTGCTGAAGTACATTGGAATGAGAGGCACTGGCTAATCTTTGCCCTTACTAACGTGAATACTGCAGAATGCAGATGAGTAATTAAAGTATAGAATGTGGAAAATTAGGCCAAAATTGAATGGAAATGAATAAGCATGCATTCTGTTGTACAGATGTTGGAAACAGATTATTTTGGACCCCACTCTCTATCTACATCTTATTTGGTTACTATGTAAAATCAGTCATATGCCATGTAGATTGTTTCTCTTCTCATTGCTTTTTCCTTCTTTATGTTGTGATGTAGCTGTATAGGTAGTAATTTAGCAAGAATATCCTGTCTGCCAGGTGTGGGAACTAGCTGATTGTATTGTAATACCAGATCATTACTTAATTCATATGCAACATAACCTAGCACATGGAAAGCATTATAAATCTATTTACAGTGTGGCTGGTCTGATGATAACATTGTATTAAATTCCCAGGTGAGGCAATTTAAGCAATTGCTTTGCCATGTGTAGGCCATGGAAATTAACTTCTCGTATGCTTTAGTAATAGACTAACTTCATTGTTATTCTCAGATTAGTCATATAGCTGGATTCTTACAGTCTGGTTACATGTACCTTACTTCACATATAAAACCATACAGGGAGGGAGTGGTTCTGCAGATCACAGTTCTTAATTTAGTTTAAGTTGAGTTAATTCATTTCAATTCTAATTTAGCTGTGACTACCCACGAACACATTCAGTTCTGTTGGGAAATGTTAAGACTTGGGTCAAGTAGACAGATTGTTTAAAGCCAAATTGCCAGACAGAACTGAGCAAGTGTATCTGTTTGAACAGGGCTTTAAGAAAATCACCTAATCAGTATGCAAAAATCCTGCTCGTAAACCAAGGGAGATCTGCCTGGAATCAAAAATTCTTCCTTGGCATAAGGTCTCGATTTTGTAGTACATTTAAAGCAGCTGCTGAAACTTTCTCTGTCCTTATGTTCTTGTGGAAAGTAGCTTAACCTTTTTGCCAATTTGGTTGCTTGTGTACATAGTCCTATGCATGATTTTGAGTGTAAACATGTATGGGGAGTTACTCAAGAGTGTTAAACACTCTTGTGTGCACAGACCTTGCACATAGACATATACTGCAAAATACAAGAAAAACTTCTGCCGTATTTGACAAACCTTTGCAGAGGAAAACTACACAGAAGCTCTTAAACCCATATTGAGCTGCCCAGAAAATGCATTGGATTACAAACTCTGTAAAGCTTCTGTCTTTTCTAGAAACATACATATAAAGTACCAGTAGACAGTGGTAACTGACAACTAAGACTAAAAATGTTGACAATTTCTTGATTTGCCTGGTTAGCTTATGTATAGAAGTCATTAACTATTTATAAAATGCATTATGAATTGGATTCCTTCAAACTGTAGCAGTGTGTGTGACATTTCCAGCTCAAACTATCATGCTTGCATTTGGCTAAAGTACATATTTATATCCAGATAATAGTTATGAAGTAGAATAAATCGTAAAACACATTTATAATTGTCACATTCAGAAGAGCTGTTTTGTTATCATTAATTTTGATTAGCCACATGTAAAAGTCTTAGCAATATTACTTCAATTATTATTTTTTATTCAAGAAGTGAATGTATTGATATTTTGGACAAATCCTAATAGGACAAATGAACGCTTTAGTTCAAAGGCCTTTCCTTTTATATTATTGATTCATTTGGTGGTGTAACTATGATCAAAAGTAGTATCAAATTATTTATTGATTATGGCAGAGAGTTACACCTAATTGTAGTCAAAGGGTTATTTCTTTCAATGCAACTGCTGCTTTTTCAAATCATGACAGACCGTTGCAATAATAGTAGGTGATCCAAACATAGTTATTAACTACACTAGAAAAGATGAGAAGGGCATTTATACTGTCTTTTAAAAATTAGAATTATTGTTAATAGTGCATTTTTGTTGTAGAATACTTTTTTAAAAGAATTATAGAATACTTTTTTCCACTTAGAGTTCCTTAAAACTTCAGTCATTCTGATGAATAAGTAACCAAGGACCGTCTGAATCGCTCCTTTATAATTAGCCAAGTTGCATAGGGGGTGGAAAGCTCCGTGAAGTGTTGTTTACCATCTCAATATAATAATGGCATATATAGTTAACATTACCAAAATCTGTGAGGCTAAGCTATTATGTGAAGTGTGAAGTACAGTTAAACTGCTGGACCTCAGATGTGGAGATTGGATCTTAACCAAAAAAGATTAGATATTAATCGACCCATATTTGTAATTTCCTTCCTTGTTTGATGTATATCAAATAAAAAATAGGAAAATAATATAATTGAGCAATCTATGCCAATTTGTTGGCTTTTGGGTGAAAAAAGAGAAAAACAAAACCCATCTCCATATGATATTCTTGCACACTGTGGAGTGTTTTAGTCCCCCATAGTGATGAAATGAATAATTTAAACAGGCAGCTCTGATACCACTGCCTGTTTAAAGGTTCTCATTTCCTTTAATGCTGTAGACTACTTTTGCTTGGTTAGTATGAAACTGCTGCGGCTGAGATCTCCAAATGGGGAAAAAGAGATTTGGCACAATTCAGTTCTTGTAGTAGGTCCATGGTATGCTTTATTCTTGCTATGTACAGCTGTAGCGATAGTGTATCATCTGGTGCTGAATACTAGCAGTTGCATCACAAATTGGTAAGCATTACACTGATGATGAGCGTGAGAGGGCAAGCTTAAATCACAGGGGATAAACAGCAAAGCTGTCTTGCAGGTGAGCTGGGTGGTGCCATGGCTTAAACCATTGCTAGTTTCCCTTCCCAGTGGCAACACTTCCACACCTTTATTTGGTCACAGAAGCTGTGAGTTTCCATGGGCTCAGTATAATTGCTAGTGGATGGTCATCTGCATCCCAAAGTGAGGCACATTTTTGACACAGTTGACAGACCGATAGGAAAGGGTTTGGGCTAAGCGATCACTACAGGTCAAAACGGGAGTGCTTTGTTAAAGCTGGGCAGGGAGTTCAACTGTAGAAGCATTTGTACACGTTTGTGCCGCAGCGCCATGCGCTCTTAAAAGTACCCTGTGCTGCAGCGCATGCATTTGTATGAACAGGGAAATGCGCATCAGCACTGAGAAAATGGCAGCGGTGCGCTTTTGAACTAAAACGCGTCAAAGGTGTGTTAGTTCAAAAGTGCACCACTGCCATTTTCTGTGCACCGACACGCATTTCGCCACTTACACAACGGCATGTGACGCAACTGGGTGCGTGTCAGCTCACGTGCAGAGCAGACTTGATTAAGCGAGTCTGCTCCGACGTGCCAGTTCCGGCGTGTCACAGCATGAAAGTAAATGTGTATAAATGCCCCCTGATTCTAGCTGCTCTTGTTTCTTCCTCTCATGAACTTTGACACCAGTCATATTCACATTCATTTCATAAAGAAAATAAGCAACTGTAAAACAAAGGTGAAAATCCTCTTTCTTTCACTGGTAGATACAGAAAAGTTAAGCAGGAACAAAGAAAAGCAATTTTATCAGTCGTTGGGGGGAAAAAAAAGTTGAAGGCTTTCCTTTAACTTGCTCCACAAAATTCACCACTCCACCTTGGTGCTTCAGAGACCCTGAAACAGACATCTGATCAGTTGTTTGCAGTTGGTTGTAACGTTCTCCAGAATGCTGCTTTTCAATAAGGTTGGATATTTAATGAACTATTCTGGAATTTGAAAATTGTATACATGATAACACATTCTCTCATAACAATCCTTCATCAGGCTTTCAGGTACAGTAACATCTCTGTTATCCGGTACTTCGCCAACCGGAATACCTCGTTAACCGGAATTTTGGCGCCGTGCCACTTTGCCTCCTGCTGCGCCGCTGAAAGCGGCAGGACGCACATGGCCGTGCTGCACCGTGCCGCTTTGCCTCCTGTTGCGCAGCGGGCGGGAGGGGAAGCTCACACTGCCCCCCTCCCACCCTCCACTGCTCTACGTCCAGCCGGAAACCTGGTGCCTTAGGTAACCAGCACTTTTAGCTTACTGGCCCCCCCTCGTTCCCTGCTTGTGCTGGATAACAGGGATTTTCCTGTATTTCTAAGTTCTGCTGTATTTATAGGCAAGCAGAGTAAACTCATCTTTCCCCTATATCATAGTTTTCTTTCTCGTCTTCATTTTCTTTTGGTCCTTTCCCTGTAGGCCTTTACAACCCTGGCAGCAAAAGAAAGACTTGCTCATTTTGTCCGTATCGTTTTCAATCCGTGTTGTCAAATGTACGCTGGTAAAAAGTCATTTATTTTGAGATGAGAAAATCCAGTCCTCCCTCCCTGTTTAGTGACATCATTACTGTTGTTTCAAGAGTTCCCATTCTAGATAATAATAATAAAAAAAAGATGTCTTCAGATAAGAGCTTTTCTGCCTATGTTCGTACATTTGCAATGGTTCTGCGACAGTCACTTTAATATTTTTTTTTTACGTTTGCTAGTCATCCAGAGAGCGCGTACATATTAATATCCCTTTGCTTGTCTAGGCTAGGCTTGTTGACAAAACTTCAGAATGTGACTTTTCAAAATCCCACCAAGTGTGTTGAGGTTTCCCCATTAATATTTATAGAAATCTGCAGCTGAAGAACTTTTCAATAACTTTACTTGTAGATTTTATCAAATAGGTATCCATTAGGGGGCTCTCGAGGTTTAAGATGATCAGCCTTGATACCAATGGCTTTGGAGCTTTACTTCCTAACCCTTTTTTCTTTTTGTTTTACAGAAAAGGTCACGGATCGCCTACAGTGACGAGGTGCGGAATGAGCTCCTAGGGGATGATGGGAATTCCTCAGAGAACCAGGTAGGATGCTAATCAAGAAGCCCTAGTGGGTGGCTGGAGGGTGAAGGAGGTCACTGGCACACTGGGCTTCTCAAGCTGCTCCTTAACAGCATTAGCAACAACTCATGTGGAAGTGATACTGTTTAATGCAAAGCTGGGGTCTTAATCAACTTCAAAATGTTTCTTGGAGATCTTACATTTAACCCTTTACCTTGTGATCACTGTCTGCTATCTTTAAAAAAATCTTTTCTTCTCTTTTCTTTATTATTTAGTACTTAAGGAATAACTTGAAACGCACTGTTTGCCGACAAAGCCAAGGTCTTCACCTCCAACACATGTAAAAGGAATTAAAAAAGTACATAATGCAGCTTTGATAATAATGCAGTATAATTAAATCAACACTGGCAGGCAAAACAAATGAAAGTGAGCTCTCAGATTGAGACAGTACCCCACTCGGTTTCCTTGCATGCCCTCCTTTCATAACCAGGTTTTTTTCCCCTTGTCCAAAATATACAACTTGCATTGATAAAAGTAGTTCTAACACCCCCCCCCCTTAATAATATTATATGTCCCTTCTTTATGGAGGGAGACTTAATAGCTCTAAGCCTTTCATGAGTTTTTTATCATGGTTATGTGACACAGGACATGGTATTAAAGATTTTTGTTAACCATTGAAAATTGTAAAGGAAACACTATATACAGGGGAGGTTTATCCCACCTGTTAATATTTTATCTGGTGTTGAAAACTTGTTTTACAGGTCCTTTCGGAAAACACAATTCTCTTTTTAAAACCAATTCCCCTTTCTTAATCCACACCACAATTAAAGTTGTGGCCTTTGTCAGTTAGAAGTTCAGGTTTTCTTGAATGGAATACTCTTTTCTGAGATGATGCAACTCAAATACCTTTAATTTTATAAGCGAAGCTTTGCAATTGATTTTTTTTGACAATGGCCAGATTCTGACTTTTTTTTTTTTTTTCCCTGTTCTGACTTAAAAATGAGTTTGCCCTGAGTACAGGTTAGTGACAACTAAGTAAAGACCTTGTGACTTATCCTTAAATGTGCAGAGTACGGAGTTAGAAAAAAACCCCCGTGTGCTATGTCTAGTATTTGAAGAAATATGTTAAACAGCCACATTTTAATTAACATAACTGTGATACATATTTTAATAACATCATACATTATATACAAGACAATATGATTCTACACTGTTAATATGGAATTGCATACTTCTATAGTCTAACAGTGTTAGATCTCTATTCAGAGTGGTAGACATACAAGCTTAGTTCTTATATTTATTTATTATAGCAGGGGATTTTCCTGGGCTTGAACAAACTGCAAACTCCCTCTAATTTCCCTCTGATGCTAGCATTATGAAGATGATCATTTTGTTTTAGAGAAATAATTTTCACAATTTGGGTATCGTCAACAAGGGTTCAACCATATAAAAAGATGTTAAGATACAATTTTGGTTTTATATCTTTAACAGCACTACTATTTTCATATTTCAAGAGAAATTTGAGTGAGATCAGACATAAAAGGGCAATTGTGATAAGAAGTTGCACTTATAACAGAATATGTAATGTGGGAGAACAAGATAAATTTTTTTCCCCGCTTTTTAAGGAATAGCTGAATAACTGATTCTTATATGAACCTTCTGCAAGTTGTGATCTCTTTTCTTAACTCTTGAGGGGTGGAGGATGGACTTACCTCAAAGAATTGTATAATGTTTTAAACTTGAAATTATTTATCAACAATTTTTTTACTTATAAAAGACCACTTTATATCTAGGATAAAGTACAGAGGGACAAGTGATTTTGTTGATGCTCCTCAGAAATCAGACTCTTCT